TGCATCAAAAATGTTAGAATCTGCACAGTAATCTTATAGTCTATTCATCAATTATTTATAGAGTGTAGAAATATTGGAGGAGCAGATAGAAACTCTCTGTCCATCATGAAATTGTCTGTTGATAAATCATGTTGAGTGGAGGGGATTGCAACTGCAGCTATATGAGTGACAGAAGACAAATTCTTGACATCTTGCTCAGACAGGGCTAGAGAATCTATCAAAAGAAGATCTTCTTGAAATATTATATCTTTCAATGTGTAAAGGTGATCATTAAAAGAATTGACTAATCTATAATTAGTAAAGCCATCATAGCCTGTAAATATAAACTCCTGCAATCATGAGACCATCTTCATATTCAGCTTGAGCACTATTTTTAAATAAGCCTTGCACCTCCATCAGCAAATCCTGCATATGGAGGGCAGGGCCCTGAGCCAAGCTTCATATGAGGTAACTAGCTTCAGATTCAAATCCTCTACATCATTATAGAGCTTGACTGATGTTAGCATAAGATTAAATATTTCAGTCACTACAATTACTGCCTCATCTCACATCTGGAGGGGAGAGGAGGAATCTATTAATAATGTTTGAGCTTTTTCAATAATCAGGCCAATAGAACATTTGGACATACTATCTTGCTGCAGAGTGTGGGGTGAGGTTGATTCTCATTTAATACTCTCACTCATTATATAGATGGCTGCAGCATTTAAATTCAACTCATCATAGTCAGAGTGAATAATTGCAATACTGTGATTGAGCAGATTTTTCATAAATTGATTGAAGGTCCATATATATTTTAGAGCCTCATTGCAGTGCTTCAATAGGAAGGTCTATCACATTCACATGATATTGTCAGTGATCATCATCATGAGCTTCTTACCTGCATAAAATAGTGTATCTTCTTCATTATCAAGTGTTTCTCCACCCTTAAATAGGTCTACCCAGATCTTAAGACCTTTGTAGGTGGCATGGTGTAGCAGAGCATTTTTATAACTTGCACATTTATACTTGACTTTAATGCATATGGTGCAGAATGAGAGCTTCTTTAGACTGATGATGACAATTTCAAAACAAAGCTCTCACAATATTTTAATTAGATTCTTTTCACCAATATGACTCAATTGCTGGTGCCACTTATCAATTAGTAGCTATTTCAGCATAATGATATGTAGTTGAGTTGATGAGGACAAAATGAAGATATCAGTATTCAGATCCTTCAGGTTAATTAGCTGCTCTATGTCATCACATTTAAAAAGACCCAGTGATGCAGCATTCAGATCATAATCTGTTAATATCATCTTGGGCTTTGAGACTGTCAAGTATGCCAGTGGTCTAAGCTCTAGATCATTCATAATATCCCTGAACATAGAGAAGGTGTCAGATAGAATATATATATTATTAGAATTCAAATTCATATAGAAGATATCATTTTCTGTAGATGCTATTATCTCAAAGTAATTTCCAGCATCCACCTGCAGATCATAGTGAATATAGCCCTGGCACTCCAATAGGCCAGCAGATATGAGATTAGCGGATAAGCTTGATATCAAATAAATGTGGTCAAATTTGATTAATCTTTCTTTGACTGAGATGGAGGTGACCCCAATCTCTTGAACCTTCAAAGTAGCCTTATTGGCCACTTGAATTATAGGGCCACTAACCTCTGTTATTCAGAAAAATCATGATTGATCACTTACAATATGACATCCAGCCCCACTATTCTATATGATGAGTGAGTTGATGATTGATTCAGCAGAGTATGTAGGCACTTCAATAACCTGCACTAGATTTGCCATTTGAAATGTCTCAGAGCTGTCATTTGCAGTTGATGAAATCTTTTTATCCTCACTACTCTTCTTATTATTATATTTCTCTATTCTCACTATGTTGATGGTCCTCCATTCTTCAGAAGCATTATCTGAATTGATTGCTCAGCAAAGTCCACCATGACAATACTCACATTCCAGACAGATTGAGAGGTCAGAATTTAAATGTCCACCTATTTAATAGTCTCTGTGTCCCTTGGGTCAGTCTTCACAGGTCAAATTATTTTGAATATTGCTACTATTATTGAAATTCATAGCTGCATTTTCAGCCTGAGCCATGTTGACTGAAGAATTAGCTGCCTGGGTGGCCTTCTTGACCTCTTTGAGAGGATTCAATCAAGAGTGTAATTCCTTCATGATTGAATAAATGTCCAATATGACAGACTTTGATTTGAACTTTTGTACCTTCTTGATTTTCTTTTGTATGTAGTTTCACTATATATTGAGAAGTACAGAATAGAACATGTGAAATACCATGTCATTTAATAGTAAAATATTAAGTATTTCCAATTTCATAATAATGTCATTGAACTTATTGAAAAATGCATGTATGTCAGTGACTTAGACATCACTCATTGATGTAAATGCCAGGACTGCTTCCCTGCAGAGCTGCATTCTTGAAATGAAGAACTTCTTCTCAACTGCATGTCAAAGAAAATAAGCAATCCTGCCCTCATCATACTTATTAAAACAGGGCCTAATGCTGGCTGCCAATGTGTTCAAAATGAATGTGTAAAGCCAGTGATTTTTGATCTCTTAAAAAGGAGCTCATTTAGAGTCTTTATCAGGGCTTTTGACTTGCTTATCCTCCAATATAACTCAGCATTGAGTGTCAATTAGCTTGGCCTTTATATTCATATACCAGAAGAGGTAATTCAAAGATCTGACCAGAGTGTTCAACTTGATGACATACTTAGTATTCTGTTTGAACTGGCTGATCACCTTGCTGACACAGCTATCCAGATCATAGAGATTATATTGCATTTAAGATCTCAAGTTCAGATCCCATGCTGATGATCAACTCATTGATGAATATGCAGGCATTGTGACCCTGTCATTCTGAGTGCAGAGTCTCTTCAATTGAAGTTGAAGCTGCAATTCTTTGCATCTCTCTTTTTAAAGTTCTAAATCAATCTTTTGATATTCAAAATTCAATCTTCTCAGTTGCAATTCTTCAGAGTCAGTTGCCAGTGGCAGATTAGAAGTTGCCACAGATGTCTTCACTTCATCTTCTGAAGAAGTTGAATCAGCATATTTAACATGATGTAGATGAACTGGTCTTACTATGATAGGAGCTGTAATCAGCCTAGCTTGCTGATCAGATGTTTTGAGAAGTTTAATTCTAGAACTGTTGAACACTTCTGAGGGGGTCAGTGAGCTCAGAGCCCCCTGATCATTTTCAAATCAGTCAGATTGACTAAATTGACTCAATTATGATCACAAGCAAGTCATCATATGTTTCATCATGTCATATTAATCTTCTTTAAAATAAAGTAATTTTATTCAGTGAGATTCTTGTCTATAAACTTGATTGAGCAGATTGACATGTTTTTGTGCAATCAGTCATTGAAAAATTAGCAAGTTGCAGATTTTTCTTTCACTCACTAAATGAACAGATTAAACACAGAAAAAAAAAAATAATAATATAAGAGTGTATCAAATCAATCAATTGACATAAAATAAGAAAATATTATATTGAATGAAGTGAGCAGTGATTAATATACACTATATTTGACAAGAATTCCTCAAATTGACAGTTATTTGCGCAAAATGAGTCTCATAACCTGTGAAGAATAGATTGCTTGATTGATTATATAGTGATCACTAGCTACACAGAAGTTATATACAGTGCAGATTATGTAAGAAGGTGAATAGATCTGACAGTGTTAACATACCCTCAAAATCAGCTTTTCAATATATATATATATATAAAAGAGAGAGAGAGAAGAGTGATATAAGGAGATTTTACACTCCTAATATGTTTATCAATATAAATATTTGTATATTGCTACTTTATGAATTACATTGCAGAAGAGTAATTTAACAGCTGTTTAATCTACATCTATACAAAACAGCTGACTGACAAGCTGCAACACTTCATATTCTCTTCACTACGGCTATGTGAATAACAAATACCACTGCATGACAGTTGGCACGCTACAAGAACAACTTATGGTGGAAAAGCAGATCACGTGACAGAAGTGTCCGACAGTTATATTCATATTCAGGTGATCTATCGAGGTGTGGCAGCATATGGCCAGCAGGCCGACATTCACCTTATTTGTCATTGGGCCTGTAGCAAGTGAAACATGCTTGTATGCATAGATAATAAATAATCAAGGACGATTATCTTTCCATCCCCGCAGCTCTGACCAGGGAACCGTATCTATCTCAAGTATTGGATACCTTTACCTATCTTCTTTCATCAAACCGAGAGCTGTGATATTTACACAAATTGCTGCTATCAAGCCATACTCCGTAGCAGGCCACTTCAGCCTTAGTCCGGCATACCCGATCCAGACTGTAAACAAAGCAAACTCCTCTCACAAATGTCTCACACACAATCACAAATCAGAGGACAAACAACTCTACACAAAATATCAGTGTTGTTTTCGGGTTTTTATGTGGAATACTGGCTGTGATGTCATTTTTCATACACGATGTCCTTATTCATGGTTGAAATCGGACAAAATGCTGGTTCTCTGTCGTGGGTTGTGTTTAGCTTTGGAACATCAGGCTCCGATTTTATGCCTGTTGTCCCGGCAGCTGGCTGGTGGCATCGGCGCTAGTGGATGACGGCTGGAGTGCTAAACAAACCACTGGGCCATTTTGGAGGGAGATCGATCACCAAGTGCTGCAGATGATAAGGGACAACTCTGCAGTCTCCTTCGAATAATTTCTGACCAGCTGTTCAGAAAAGGGTTGTCGATAAATATCTATCCATAGTTCTCTCTTCTATTTATTTTTGCGATCTCCAGGGACGGATTCGAAATTGGAGAGCATATCGGAGGAATGCAAATTTTTAGTGCGCCAGAGGGGTTATCGTGTAAACCAAACCAAGCAGGCCAATGCGCCGCGTATTCCTGCTTGATATACTACTACGCCTGACCGTGAGTTGACGCACAAATATATGATTGAAGAGGTTGTTGTTAAATGTCAAAAATTATGCCCCTAGTAATGCCTGCTCCTTCTCCTCGTCGACCTTCCAACCGTGGAAGCGCGAAGTCCACGCCCTCAAATGGGAAACCGCTTGATATCGGACAACCATTAGGTGTCCACGACACAAATTCGGTGCGGGAAAAGGTTCGCAAATGGCAGCAGCAGGGTGGAGGCGTTATAACAGAAAAAGACGTTGGCCCTGGGAGTGACAGCGACCATGTTTCCCCCGAACAAAAATCCCGTTCATCCAACAGGGCGAGCGATTCGAGAAATAATAAATCCAGCATATCGAGAGACGACAGCAAGAATAAGGACCACAGTGGTAAGCGAGATCGAAGTAACAGCACCCCGAAGAAACGGGTTATCAGTGATGGACACTGGAGGAAAAACAGGTCCCCTCCAAGCACTCCTCCCCAGAAGGTGACGCCTAGAAAGAAAACAGATGTGTTCGACCGATATGGAGATTCTACATCATCAGCAGGGGAAAAAGGGAAAACTTTCGGAGATAGCAGCGGCACAAAGTCTGGGTCTAAGCCCTTGCGCGATGACGGAATCAGGGTCTATGCATCCTCGATGCCATCTCCTAAAAAGAGTGAACGCCCAAAGTCTCAACCAATTCAAGAATCGCAGTCTATGCCTGAAGATAAAGAAGACGGTGCTGATAGCGATCAGGTCCCTACCTCAAGACATCACACGCCCAGGAAGCAAAAGGGCAATGATGACACGAGAGAGAGGCATTTACGGAAAAAGTCTGTTGACAACGAAATGTCAACCGAACCCAGTGAGGTCTTCCAGCTCTCTGAGCAAGAGAATAGGACTCGACGACAAGGGCACAAACTTCCACCAAGACACCTGCGACCTCCCAAGGGAGGTATTTTTAATCATGTTATCGATGAGTCGAGAAAAATTTTTGGGAAACATGAGCCCCCGCCAGCCCCTCGAAACCAAGGATCAAGTGTCGAGGCATGGCTTTCTTCAACCCCTGACCCGTTTTCGGAAGATGAGGATTCTCTCGTCGAAATACCAGCACCCTTATCACAGTCGCGGAGGGAAACAGTCCAAAGAGGTCGAGACGACGACGATGCTACATCTCGCCCTACGCTGCAGCTGAAAAACGCTAAAGAAAGACGTAGTTCAAATGGGAATATAAGGCGCTTTCATATCCCCCCCTTGACGGATACGTCTACTGTGCATCAGGACGACCTATTATCCTACTCTGAGCAACCCAGTGAAAAATCAACAGATACCTGGAAATCTTCACCATCGACTTTAAAAAGAACAGGTGTGAAAAAGTGCCCAAATACGACATCTGAAACTCGCAAAATGTCGACTCTCCATGAATCACTCGACGAAGCTCTTCAAGGATCAAACTTAGGCCTTCATTCCTCCTCAGACAGCTCTGAAGTGTCATTGTCTGACCGTCCTCCGCCTTTAACATTGAGGAGGCCATTTCCAGGCACCGGCGTTCATCGACTCTCGACAATAATGTCCGTGGAAACACTGAGTACCGCGACAGAGACGGTTCGATTTCAAGACGACAAAGATACCGACTCTCGTGCCAATCCTCAAACAAATTTAGATGAGCAGTTGGAACCAGAGTCTAAGGACCATTTTGATCCGAACCTGCTCCCTGACACTAAAAGTGGTTTGAAACGTCGACTTACAACTCATGCCGATCTAATATCTGTTTTATCCATACCTGGACGTGGGGGTCGCAGTATAAGATCTGCCAGAAGCATCCGTACGAATAGAAGCCGTTTGGCAACCGCTACTGTCGGAGATATAATGCAGGAATTTTCATCAGATGAAACGAAGTATATACGTGAATTAAGGACACTTGTCGGTGGTGTCATACCTGTTCTACTAGCATCTGTTTTATCCAAGTCCGATTCAGCGATTGCTGCCGGCCTTTTTCGACCATCTGGGGACCCTAAAGACGAAGAAAACTTCACAAGACCTATTGTGAATATGGGAATTGCACTCGAACGACTAAAAGCGCTTCACAAGCGAGCCCCATTGACGAATCCTGATTCTCTGCTTTCCTGGGCACAATCAGCGCAAAAGGTGTATGCGGATTATTTAAAGGCCTGGCGTCTTGGATTTCAGGACGTTGTCGTCAACCTTGCACCGCCAGATGAGGACCCATCTCATGACATCAACTCAGAGACCCAAAGCCTATATGCTGGGATGCCGCAAGATGAAGACGGCGATGTGGTAGACGGAGATGGTGAAAAGGTAGATGTGGCCTTTCTTCTCAAGCGACCCCTTGTTCGACTTAAGTATCTCGCAAAGACTTTTAAAGGCATCAACTATATCCAGCCGTCCCCCAAGGCAGAAGAGATGGCCATGGTTTACCAGAAGCTTGTTACGGAAGCTAGACAACGTTCAAACGAAGAACGAGCAAGACTAGAAGACGATCTTGCGGCCCACATCGATGCTACTAGAGCCCGAAGCCCCAAGAGCCTCGCAGTCTTGACAGACGTCAGTCTTCACCAAAATCGGCGTGTCCAGGCACGCGACTTCTTTAGTCTCTCTTTGCTCCATTCAAGTGGCCAGCAAATCGATTGCCGGGCTGAATTGCTACTTCGTGATAATCCCCCTGAAGAGGGACCCGGTGGTGACCTATTAATATGCGAGGTGGATGAGACTGATCGATGGCTTTTATTTCCTCCCATCGACCGTGGTCGGGCTTCTGCTCGAAATGGTGATGTAAAGGGCGAAATTGTCGTTATGATAAGGAGTGTTCCAGGTGAGGAGAAAGATTGGCAAGAGTTACTCACTTTCAAAACGGATGATGAACAGGTGGGATTTGAATGGGTTCAAATGATCGGATTGAGCCCTGTGCCACCCAAGATTGATCGATCTTTGAGCTTTATCTATCGATCTAAGGAAAGAGACAGGGCCCCTAGAGCAGAGAAGGAGACTTCTGATTTGTACACCTCATCAGGGAAGAGGAGTTCAAGTCCCATAAATATGGATGTGCCCATCGGAGAACAGGCTACAGTTCTTTCTCCATCTACAAAATTGACGGCATCCGTTGATGATGACAACGACAAGACGAAGGCCCAACCAAACGGATCCCGCAATTACCCCTGTCCGAAGGCGCTTCCTTTGTCAAAACGTTCCTTGAAGGATGAGAAAGATCTAACGACCCCTAGCACAGTCACGAAACCGCGGATGTCAGTTCCTACGCCCAGAAACCTCAATGAAGCGATTGATATGGCCGGCGGGCCTTCTCCAACCATGTTGAAGAGATCCAAGGCTAAGAGGAGGTCTAATTATGGTGATCTTCCGACGTCAAGTCCAACATCAAGCGGTGCTCGAACACCGGATAAGGAGAAAAGAGTGTCTGATATTCCGCTGGTTGGACCTAAAACACCGGAAACGAAGGCTATTGTTCGTCCTCAGGATGATGTACAACCAGCCAGAAGCCGGGTTTCTTCTCCACAAATGGACCTACCAAAGCCACATCTTGCTAGACCCCTAGGTCGACGTTCCCTCTCACCCGTCCCGTCTCTGGAACTTCCAACTATACCGAAACTCAGGAAAGCTAGCCAACAAAGCAGCCTGCCCGCATCCCCAAAGCAGGAAATGCCACCACCACTGGCGATAACTTCTAAAACCAAACCATGCTCAGCTAAACAAGGTAAAAGCCCAGAGGAAGTTGTTCTCCGTCGGGATCCCACAATATTTACGGAGGACGCCCCATTACCGCCACCACACAGGTCGCAAAGCCCAGCTGTTTCGAAGAAACACATTCCAGTTCTAAGCCCTATCACCCCTCGTAATAATAAAAATCGACGATCCTCCTCTCCATTGAAGCACGAGTATGAACCTTCTACAGCAACGGAGTCATCAGAGAATTCTGATACATCCACCGTCGAACACCACGATATTGACTCCTCCTCGGACACGTCAGATGAAGAGTTGGAAGGAGACGATATGGCAACACCTTTGCCACCAATTGGAGCTCATAAACTTTACAAAATATACCCCCATTCATCTCTTCCTACTTATTCAGAGGGAGCACTTGCACCATCCAATCCAGCTTCCCAAGCTCCATACAAGAGTGTTCCATTACAACCATATGAAGCAGCAAAATCCATTGCATCTATTTTCTACTGGCATGACAAAGGTTCCTGGGAAGCAGTTTATCCCTATGAATGTAGCATCATGATTACCCCCGGGCTTATTGAAGCTTACGAAATGAGTGCCGCACATTCACACCCCATTGGATCTTCCAAGGGAGAACTTGGCGTTGGTATTGCCTCTAAACGGCCGCTTATTGCCTTGGAGTTAACGCCTCTGGTCCCAATCCGTCGCGGAACTGCCTTAGATATTTCTATTCGCTCCCCGCCTATGACAAGTTCTAAAATAAAGACCGGGAACAACGTCATGTTCCGCTCACGGAACGCGGAAGAATGTGAGAAATTGTACGGACTTATCAATCAAGCTCGAATAAATAATCCGACATATGTTGCACTGCAAAATGCCCGTGGTCCATTTAATGGGCAGCCTACCTCGCTCACTCGTCAGAATTCCAACCGCACTAGCAGGTTCGGAGGGTGGTTCAGTTGGTCGAGGAGCAGCTACCGTGCCTCCAGTGTGCCCACCGCTTCTGTGGCTGGTGTATCGGATTCCAGCGTTGGAACAATGTCGAGTGCGTTCTCAGCCCTCAGAAAATTCGGTTCAGGGAACAAAATGTTCAGCATTGCAAGGTCAACCATCACATCCCGCACCGGAAGCCAAAGGGGAAGCCTCTACTCAAGCTCCACTCGTTCTGGGTCTAACTATACTCCAAATTCCCAATTCGAGGTCAGCCCTGATGGTTCCAAAAACGTAGCAGGCAGTATTGGTCTTTCAAATGCAAAAATTCGGCTATATGTTCGCGAGTCTGCATCCAAATGGCGGGACATGGGTGCTGCGCGTCTGACGATATTACCGGTCTCCCCCGTCTCATCCCCACCAGGCACTGCTGGTGCCGTTGGAATAGATGCTGAGGCACCTTCTACGGAGTTTGCAAACGGGGAAATTAGGGGGTCTTATGGATTATTTTCGTCTTCACAACCGCCCACTGCTCCCCCTCCGCTGCTCCTTTCAAATCATCAGCAAGAAAAGCGGATTCTCATTCGTGGCAAGACGAATGGGGAGGAACTGCTTGATGTATGTCTTGATGAAAGCTGTTTTGAGCGGGTTGCTAGGACTGGCATTGCTGTTTCTGTCTGGGAAAGATATGACAGAGTGGCAAAGCAAGGAGGTGTGGTGAATGGGAGCTTCAGGGTTTATATGATCCAGATGAAGAGTGAGGCGGAGACTGCATATACATTTGGGTTGGTTGGGAAGTTGAGATACTAATTACATGATACTCTGTTGACTTTCGCATTTGGTGTCTGGAAGTTGATGGAGGGGGGGAGGGGGGGTTATTATGATGAGTGATCTTTCATTTCTGTTTGGTTTCTGAATGATTGCTGGTGTCATCATATGTTTGGTAATGGGGAAAGTGCGGATCTACGGGGTTGCATACATTCTTAAGATGCTTCAGATGTAAAATGGCTAGTTTGCATTTGAGTGGTGTCTCGTTTTCCCTGTTTCATTCTCCCGATGCCGCATTACGCACGTCGCCTTGTTGATTCTGGTTAATTTACAAGAAATATTTATTCTCTCCCATTAGGCACCAGCAAACCCGTTTCAATCAATTCTGTATATTCCTCGTGTATTTATTATTGCATTCAGAGATAGCAATCATCGAAGTCCATCTGCCATGTTTTCAAACGATTGAACAATCATCTTCTTGTATATGTCTATATCTGTAAGAAAGACTCTTAAGTCTAATCTCTATATATCTATCAGGTACCTCATCTGCATAGGTATAAATGTTGAGAGGTCTGGAGCTAAAAGCTCTAAAATAAAATAAAAATAAATAAAAAATAAATAAAAAATAAAGGGGCTGTCCAAAGGTGAACAGAAGCAAGGAGTAATGATGACCATTTAAAACAAAAAATTCAAAACATCAAGGTCAACCAGTCTGTATTTACAAACTGTACAACTCAATTGAAATAGTGTCGCATCCATTCCTGTCGTACACAACTCTTACAACTTTGAACTAGGAAAACAAAAATCATAACGGTCATTATTGCGCAACTTGGTAAAATACAAGCGAGGGTGAAAAGTTGAGAAGAAACCCGACAAGAAATCACATGGAGCTCTCAGGGGTCCCAGAAGACCCATGCTTTTTGAACACAAAACTTACTCCATTTCCTTCCTCTTTCAGCAAGGAGAGAAGAACATCGTCGTCGATATGAGCCTCGATGTTAGCTTTGTCTGCGCCAAAATTTCCCGAGGTTTGATGAGGCGATGGAGAGCGAAGGTGAGACGTATCAACGTGCGTGTATTGCATCAGTGAAGGAATTTTGGATTTTCCCTTCCTAGATTTGTTTGAAATCTTCCCACGCCCTTTCGTCACTGCCCCTCCTGAAGATAGGGTTTGGAGCTGAGAGGCTTTTATCAACTTCGTGAAGCCGTTGGCAGCTTCATCTGAGTCTGTCGATTCATTTTCGCTATGGTCAGATTCAGAAATATCAATTATATGGCTCCCATTGGGATGCGAGAAATTCTCTTGCCCCCCTCTACCATCACACTCGCAACCGAGGAGATCGTGTGTTTGGCACGTTGCTCCTTCATCAAGTCGAAATAAATCCCTCAACTCCTCACGGGAAAATTGCAAAACGCCACTTTTTTGATCCATCACGCTGTCAGCCAACCCTATCTTGGTGACCTGTCTCTGCCAAATTTTCTCCTCCAGTGCGCCCTTTAGCAGAAATCGATAAATTCGACAGTGTCGCTTCTGACCATCACGATGTATCCGTGCCATGGCCTGCATATCCGTGGCTGGGTTCCAGTCAACGTCAAAGAGAACTAGCCGGCTGGCTCCGATAAGATTGAGACCTGTACCTCCAGCTTTGGCTGATAGAAGGAATGCAAAAACTGAAGTTGAGGATGATCGATTGAAATCGTCGACCAGTGCCTGGCGTTTTGCGGCCGGGGTGGAGCCATCAAGGCGAAGAAATGATAGGGATAGGGAAGTAAGAAGTTTTCCCAAGAGATCCAGAGTGGATGTGTAGTTCGAGATTAGCACAACTTTCTCGGAAGTTGTATGACGTATATTATGGAGTAGTTGATCAAGGACTCGTATTTTACCACTCGAGGCGGGTGTGAGTCTTCGAGTAATACTGGAGGGGAGACTGGCAACCAGGGAACTAAGTGTGGAGGTAGAATCTTCATCGGAGCTTTTGGGGTTCAGGAGGGAAGGGCTATTGCATAGTTTTTTGAGAATGGTGATGAGTTGTAAAGCACTGTCAGAATTTCCCAAAGCGCATTGAAAGACAGGTGAGCTGAGAACATGGCGATAGATATTTGCTTGGGAGGAGGTAGGGTTACAGAAGAGAACGTATTCGGTTTTCGGTGGTAGATATTTCGAGAGGAGGTCGGCAGTGCGTCGTAAAATGAATAAGGATGTAAGACTTGCCAATTCTTCACTTCTTGCTTTTCCTTTCTCGATGTCCCTTTTCAACGCACCAGGCTGTTGGCTCTTCACAATCGGCCCTTCAAATTGTTTCATGAACATTTTGAATGTCCCTAGAATTCCTGGGTTGACGAAGTCAACCATTGCGAAAAACTCAGTTAAGTCATTCTGGATTGGGGTTCCTGAAAGGATGACTCGTTTGGAGGTATTCAACGGCTGTATTGCTTGCGCACTCTTATTTTGTACAGTCCTCATTCGATGACCTTCGTCCGCAATGACGATATCAATACCAGAACCTTTCGAGAGCTCTTCTTGCACTGTTCGGAGCCTTTCATAGCCGATAATCATGACACTGTAACTTTGGCCCATGGTGAAATCCGTAAGTCTGGTTCTTTTGGCATCAGCTACAAACACCCCAATGCGTTCATTCCCGAGCCACTTGCGAAATTCCTTTTTCCAATTATCGATCAGTGTCACAGGGCACACTATTAGAGCCTTTTTGATAACTGGAGGTGCCTCATATATTGGGTTCTGTTTCAACAAGGTCCATATAAGCGCTATCGTCTGCAAAGTTTTGCCTAAACCCATTTCATCCGCGAGGATAGCCCCTTCACCATTGAAAGAGCGCATTCCCATTACACACTCGTAAAGAAACCTAACACCCTCGCGCTGATGTTCCCGAAGATGCTTGCCCAAAAGGGGATCAAGGACGACGTCGACAATTTCTTTACCTTTCGGTACTGATTCTGGCCGTCTCATGACCACCGCGCCAGGGAGCGTGGGGTTATGCCGTGGAATGGGATTGCCATTCGGTTTCTGTACGAGTACAGTGCTTTCTTTCATGGGATTTTTGAAAGCACTCTTCACCGCAGAGCTTTTTGGCACAGCAGAGTTAAGGAGTTTCTTTGCTCCCCCGTCGTCTCCGTGTTCGCGTTTAATTTTGGTCTTGGGTGGCAGTCTAATCGTCCCATTCGTTGACGTAGCAGAAGAAATGCGGGACATCCGTACTGGATCTTTCCGGATTTCGGTACCGTCGTCGGCAGATATACTCGCGGGTAAAAGTTCAGCAATTCCCAGTAATGCTCGACCAGACATATACTCCTTCTTTGACATGACAGAATCAACCTCGACATCTTTTCCACCAACCGACAATGTTGATCCGGGCAGTAGTGGAGAATTAAACTTAATCCTGCCTAAATCCCTCCCAGATACATCCTGGAGATACGCATAACCACCGCGGACGGCTAATATCCCATCGCCATCCCATGTCTTGTGTTTTTTAGCAGTGGGCTTACGCCTGAGAAATGAACGGGAAAAATATTAGCGATAGATTAACCACTCATAGGATCGCTATCAACCAGAAAAATTGCCTCAAAATCACAATTTACGTACCAAAGGACATTGTAATACGTCTCCATCCCACCACTCCTTGCATAAGCACCGCTATCATCAACTTCCACTTCCACTGGTGGATTCCATCTTGCGATAAGCGGTTTCCGCTCTGTATCAGTTATCTTTGAGCTTGGCTTGTGTACCACCCGAACCGATCCTGATTTAGCATCACGTTGCCGATTATCATAGCCAACATCCTCATTATCATTAATTGTGAGGTCAACGGTTTCTGGGCTGATTCTGCGGCGTTTACTTTGGGGGTACGAGTCTCCAATTGAATTGTCTGCATTTGACGAAGACGTCGTTGTCGTTGAAGGGGAGGCAGTAGTCGGAAGCTTCCTAATAAGTGGAGGCCGGAAAGGTTTGAACGTCATAGTATTAAATCATTAATGCTCTGCACAGCAGGCAGAAATGTTCGGATTATGAGAGAACGACTTGAAGTTGGAAGATATCAGGACTGGTTGGCGCGTCGCGTCAAGAGATCCCAATTAAACCTCCATGATCAACGCGTGGTCACATGATACTTAGCTGCTCTCAAATCCGTCCAAAAGGTTGCCTGTTCGATCTCCTGGAAATTCCAAGCAACCCTAAACAGCAAAAATATCTTTTTTACCAAGGCAAATGCTTGGTGTATTCGAAATCCTTTTCCCCAGTGAATTCCACTTTATTTGTAACAAGGGACTAGTTAACTACAAAAGCAGAGAACAGTTGAAATTTTGCCATATCCAAAGATACAATTAAATAACTCATGGTAACCTTCCTCCTCATGCAACTTACCAAAAGACAAATCATCAACTCATTCTAATAAAGCGCTTTCCGCAGACTAATACACAGAGGAACGTATGAAATAGAAAGAAAAAAGAGCATCGTAATACATATATATCCTGTTCTCTGCCAGGCTCACTCATAAAGGTCCCGTTCTCCCATATCCTCTTCCATCTCCGCAAGTGTGTCAGATTCATCAATCATCTCCTCGTCTTCACTTTCCGTTTCAACGTGGTTTGGTAGGACAGTGATCCTTCCTTCCTGCATCACAACACGTGCAGTCTCGCCGTCTTTGATGGCCCCTCTTAAGATCAAGACCGCAAGGCGGTTCAAGACCTCTTTCTCAATGAGTCGCGAGAGTGGCCTGGCGCCATAGACTGGCGAGTATCCGGCATTACCCAAGTAATCCTTGACTTCGTCTGTACAATCTATCGTCACCGTGCGGTCGTTCTGCTCTAGCCTCCGTTGGATCTCTTGTAACCGAACATCCACGATCTTCCGTATCTCCCGCCTTGTGAGGCGATTGAAGATAATGATGCTAGAGATTCGATTAAGGAATTCGGGCAGGAAGTAGTTCCGCAGTGCGCCCATAACAAGCTCTTTAGTGGTGGGGTCAATCTGGCCATTGGAAGCTGTGGGCCGTTGGAGAAACTCGGCGCCAAGGTTGGAAGTCATGACAACGATGCAATTCTTTGCATCGACAATTCTTCCCTGACCGTCTGTGATTCTTCCGTCATCCATCAGCTGAAGGAGGACGGTTAAAACTTCCTTCGCAGCTTTTTCCACCTCATCGAAGAGGAGAATGGAGAATGGTCGCCGGCGAAGTGATTCTGTTAGCTGGCCACCAGCATCATGCCCAACGTAGCCAGGGGGCGCTCCGATCATTCGACTCAAAGAATGCCGTTCCTGATATTCAGACATGTCAAATCGGATCATAGCCTTGGGGTCATCGAACAGGAATTCCGCCAGTGCCTTAGTAAGCAGGGTTTTACCCGTGCCTGATGGCCCACAGAAGAGGAAGCTTGGCGGGGAGTTAGGGTTGCTCAGGCCAGACCGTTGGAGTCGAATTGCGTTCGACACTGATTGGACGGCTTCCTTCTGGCCAACAACAATTTTGGAAAGGTGCGATTCCATGTGCAGAAGCCTGTCCTTTTCGGTGGTCCTCAGTCTGGTAACGGGAATGCCAGTCCATCTGGCCACAATTTCATTGATTTGCTCAGGGCCAACAGCATCTGCCATAAGGGTTTCTCCTGCACCTGGCTGGGCTGATAGTTCCGCATCTTGTCGAGCTCTTTCAGCCTCCAATTGTTCGATGCGCTTCTCGACATCCGGGATGGCATAGTAAATCAGATCCGAAGCAGTTTGGGTATCTCCAGACCGGGTTGCCTCGTCCCTTTTCACTTTCAAAAGGTCCAATTTGATTTTAGCATCTTGAATATCCTTGCTCCGTTGTTTCTCACTTTCATATTTTTCTCGTAGAGGGCGAAGCTCTTCGTTGACGTTAGCTGCTTCCTGTTTGGCAGCCTCGAGTCGAGCCTTCGAGGCCGCATCCTTTTCGCGAGCCAGAGCATGGATTTCGATCTGGAGTTGTCGGGCACGGCGTTCCAAAGTATCCAGGGCTTCAGGTTGAGATTCTCTCGTGACGCGAACAGCGGCGGCTGCTTCGTCAATTAGATCAACTGCAGAATCTGGAAGTCTTCGGGCAGTAAGGTAACGAGAAGCAAGGTTGGCTGCGGATACAATGGCTCCATCGAGGATGTTAACACCATGGTGAACTTCGTATCGTTCTTTCAGACCTCTGAGAATGGAGATGGTCTCGCCAACAGTAGGCTCTTTGACCAAGACCTGTTGGAATCGACGCTCGAAAGCTTGGTCTTTCTCGATGTACTTCCTGTACTCGCCAAGAGTGGTTGCGCCAATGCAATGTAGCTGACCTCTTGCAAGCATGGGCTTGAGAAGATTTGCGGCATCCATACCACCTTCTCCACTGGAGCCAGCTCCCATAAGAAGATGGATTTCATCCACAAACAGAACAATGGTCTCCTTTGATTCTTCAATCTCTTTCAAAACGCCCTTCATCCTCTCCTCGAACTCACCACGATACTTGCTGCCAGCAACAAGTGATCCGACATCCAAGGATAGAAGCTTACAATTAGCCAGATTGGCGGGAACATCGGCATTGACAATCCGTCGTGCTAGACCTTCGACGACCGTTGTCTTTCCCACGCCAGGTTCGCCAATAAGCACTGGATTGTTCTTTGTGCGTCGGCTGAGAATGCGAATCACTCTTCTAATCTCCTCTTCTCGGCCGATCACGGGATCAATCTTCCCTTCTCTCGCCATGGCAGTCATGTCAACTGTAAACTTTTTTAAGTTTTCACTTTCTTCTTCTGTATCTGCCGTTTTTGAATCCACGCGTTTCATCCCGCGGATTTGCTGGATAGCAGAATCGATCATCTTGACATTGGGGATATTTGCGTCCGCAAGCGCCCGCTGGATAGTAGGATCCTGCGCCAGCGCAGCTATTAAATGATCAATTGCGACATAAGTATCCTTCTGGGTCTTTGATAAATTGGAAGCCGCCCGGAGAACCTTTGCAAACGCCGGTGACGGGGAGATGGTCTCTGGAGGCGGATCTTGCGAAGCTAGCCGGACCAAAGACTTGTTGAGGGCCCTGCGTAGCTGCTGAGGATCGCCATGGGCTTTCTCCACAACTCGTTTGAAGAGAGAGCCTGAACTGGCTTGGTGTGAGGGATGTGTGGTAACTTGCTGGTCCTTGGACTCATCCACAGGGGGGTCCAGGAGCGAAACCGCGAGATGAATGGGGAGGAGTTGTGGGTGAGCATGCTGCTCTGCGAGTGCGTGAGCATCGACAAGAGCTTGATTAGCTCTGTCTGTCAACTGTGTTCCGTTCATGATAGCAATCTATAATTAAATTTCTGGAGTTCGGAAACGATAGATAGAGCTAGCTACCCAAGCGGCGATGGGTAGTTTCACGGATATGTAGTCGGGAATTTCAAGGTTCAGGGTGGGGTTTGGGGGTCGTGTGAGTTGATATGCCCGGATGATCTTCACGAATGCAAAGTCTATTTCGTATATACAGATGAGAGAGTAAAAAACAAATAGAGGAAACCAAACCAATTACCAGGGAAAGGAAAGGGAGTACAATATATATTAAATCGCTTAGATGTTTCGCAGTTCAGTTGCAACTGAACTTTCGGGTCCTTAGTGGAGAGTTCGGGAGCTTTCTACATGTTTCTTGATGTCAGGGCTGCGCACCACGCTACATCATATCATGTGACCCGTTGATGTCATGGATCCAATCGCGTTGGGCAAAATACGCGCACGGATTACCCGTTGCCCCCGGGCGGCCACACCCACGTGACCAGGCGCATACAGATTAGCCGGTTCTCCCGCGATAATAAGGGACAAACGCTTCTACAACATTGTTAGTCGCGCGTTTCCTATTTCCCCCCACTCCAATGACTGTTACTAAATTGCAGCAATGCCATCCTGATGAGAGGCAAAGTCTTAATTTATTACAGGAACAGATTCTTACAAGAAACACAGCTTTGATTATAAGGGAAACAAGCAAGAAGTTAAGCAAGAAAATCTGATGAGAAGCGGCAAGTAAAGCTTTTAATGTGGGGAAAAGTAGTGAAGCAACTGACTCTCTCTAAGACCCGAGCAAAGTGTGTCAGTGTCTCAAAAATAAAATAAAAAAAAATAAAAATAAAAAAAAATAAACAAGACCTCCCTCTCATGAAAAGCCTGAGCAAGAGAGGCTTGAATTGCGGCGGCAAATGAATGAGCAAGGTTTCAAAGATTCCTATTTCTCTATCATGGAGGTGGGGAATAAATTATCGCTCAAATGACTGAATGATTCTAATGATGTTACCAGAGTGCGAATATTTCGAAAATATTATGTTAGAATAAAGTTAATCAACTAAAATTACTCATATAAGAAACAGCCTATCCAAAGCTACTAAAATAATTCTCTACCCACGTCAAATTCTATGAGGAATGAAATTCAAGCTCGGTAAGTGCGGAAATGCTGCCAGAATCAATACCTGCTTTGAACCAACCCTTCTAATCTCTAACACCAACTATTTCTGCCTCAACTAAATGAATTGTAAATTGAATGGATGAGCCAATGCTGCTGCTATGAGCACAATATCTCACAGACAAAAAATGGGAGGATAGAAACAATATAATGAAAGTTTTTGATCATGGGCCGTTGACAATGAAGAATGAACATGAATAGGTGGAATGAGAATAAGGAGGCTGTGTTTAGGAGTGATTTGTAAAGATATCCACCCATTCATTCATTTCGGGTAAACCACTAGAAACCCCTCCACCCGCATTGCTCCAAGTGGTTAGCATCTTCGATACAACTACTTAGACATCCCATGTGTTATTTGGGGGAGGGTATGAGGCATGTAGAGCTGAGACGCAAAGAGCAACATCCTGGTTTACCCTGACTTCATTTTGAGCTCCTGCTTAAAAACACTTCTTATAACCGCTCAATTGGAAATTTCAAATTAAGCTGTTCATTGCTCATTTCCAGTCATCCCATTATTCTCACAACAATTAACTTTCAATAAAAAGGAATGACACCACTAGTTAATTCTCAGTGAAATAGTTTGAAACATAATTTAAAAGTAATGCAAGTATAATATGAGATTGAAAAACATTAGATTTCATAAAACAAGTCAAGAAAGGCAAAGGGACAGACAGAGATTAATTAAAGGAACGTTGGGGATGAATTAGGGGAATAATACGTCTATCCTGGTCCCGAAGACCAGAAACATTATACTACTCCATTTACATAGGGCTTCGGCCTCTAATCTTGGGAAGCGTAGCCATTGCCCTCTCCTGAAACTCCTTAAACTTCGCTTCATCAACATTGATAGCGAATACCATGCCGTTGCCGCAATGACTTCTCACGCTACCTGCACCTTGCTTGCAGTAGAAATAACGAGGGTGTTCGGAGTGAGCAATCAAATCAAAGGGCTTGAACTCTGGAATATCGTCGGCGTTGGCGTGGTTAAAACCGGTGTCGACAGCTCCATGCTCTTCCAATGGGGTACAGGGGGACTCGAAGCTCGATTCGGTCAGCGTATGGTTCAGAGCACGGAAATCAAAGTGGATCTTGGAGCCCTTATACACATGTGGTAGATACTCGGGATAATAGCGTAGGGTTTCTCCTTTATCAAGACCGACCGTCACAGTTGGTGTGGGAGGATATGTGTGATGATATTTGCCACCGGTAGTAGTCCAGGTGGTGGGCTTCTTATCAGCACCGTAATCCAAACCACTATTCTGTGCAATGGCGATTTTGATGAACTCATCCATCTTTCCAGCTGGATTCAGTCCGAAAACCATTCCTTTACTACAGTGGTTGGGCGGGCCCTGCTGCTTGCAATAAAACCATTGCGGTTTGGTGGTTTGGACGTGGAAGGGAATAACGAAAAGGCCTGATTCATTCTTTGGGTTGGGTTGATTGAGGCCAGTATCGAAGCCCCCGTTGTACGTGCATGGAGTCTTGAAGTCAGACTGGGTCAAGGAGTGGGATTGGGCGAGAAAGTTGAAATAAACTGTGTCTCCAACAGCAGCGTCGATTTGGTTTGGGACGAATTTTACTTCGCCATTGAAAGTCCCAACATCGACATAGTGCTTTTTGTATCCGTGATGTGATCCACGGGCGGCTATGCCTTCAAATGCTGCTGCGATAGCGGCAAGAGCAATAACTGACAAGGCTGACAACTTCATTTCGAAAATAAATGAAAATAAACACACTAAGCAGGAGATACTGCGAAGGTAGAGGGACTGCAAAGGAAATATTGAAGTAGGAAATAGAGAAAAGAGAAAAGAACAGTATGAAAAATTATCGCTGGATTTTCAAGTTTTGAGAAGATGATGGGTAGAATAAACCCCTATTAGGAGCAGATCCTACTGGCATACTTATACATTTTCATCCTCAGATAGACGACAGCTCTGAATGAGATATTGCTATCCGTTGGAAAGAGGATATCTACACCTGGAAAGGGATTGCCAGTCCGATTCAAGTTAGATCTCCTCGTGTCTGTCCGTTTAAGGCTGAACTCTTCATCCTAAACATCAATGGTGAAAACCTATTCTGGAAATGCCCAGCAAAGCTTGAGGACCGATTTGAACGACGTGAGCCAGTCATCCTGTCAAGTTAGGAAAGAGTCGTGGCTGAGAAGGGAGAAATTCCAAATTCCAACGGAGATTTATATCCAAATGGGCATGGTTAGATTCTACATACCCTCAGCCCACGTGGAAAGTGTTTCGGTTCGCAGGGTTTTCGTTTCTTAGGAGAGGATGGGATGACGCTGTCTTGTGAAGAATGTGGCCGTGGAGAAATGGTGCTAAAACAAGACGGGAGTTTTGTACAGACGGCTTACCAGATCTGGACAACTCAGCCCAATCAGGAAAATCGTGTAGTCTTAGATAGGTTTAACGCATTGCTTGGGCAAGCCAGCTCGTCCGCGTTCGGAAATTCTATTTTTGGAGTTGGATCACTTGGCCCAATTGGGCCTGAAACGACATGCAGCCTGGAGATGGAGGCACTGTTGGGAGGCAGTGAACATGTAACTAGTTAGGTGTGTTAAGATCTCGACAGGGATGCATGGGCCAGTCTGCGGTCGTCAACGGCATCACACGAAGTACGCTCGTCGACTGACAGCTGAAAGCTAGCGGTTGTCGACATACTGGCTGCTGTCCACTAGTTATATAGCGTATTCGCAGGGTATGCGTGTTCAAAAACCAACGGAGTCTCTTTCATAACAGGGTGTAAATACTGTGAACGATTGCTGCTAGTTATGTAGCAGCCACTCGTTGCGCCACAAGTAGCTCTAAAAAGTCCCGTTGAGTTTACTTCCAGACAAGACACGCAGGGTAAGATTGGAGTGCGGCACTGTTAATCTGGCCCATTGGGATCGCAACAAGTGAGAGTCCTCTGTCCTCTTTAGTGAAGGCATTTTTGGCGGAGCTTGCGCAATGGTTCAGGTTAAGGAATATCTGACAATGGACATGTCAGCAAAAAGCTGTTCGTTCAATGAGAAACAGATAGGAGTCTTCCATTCCACATGCTTGGACATGAGTTCTATAATCCTCCTTGGGTAGTTGACTTTTTTGGTGCTCCTTTCATTTTAATGCTGTTCATAGTAACTAATCAAAATGCGGCTGGTGTCTTGGGAAGTGCATGATGCCCTTGCAAACCACACCATGTTAGACAACGAAGTAATAAATGCTGTGTATAAATGCAAAACTATAATGGAAGACACGATAAGATGTTCCATAGATATTCCATAGCAAATGGTTGGATTTCAATTTCACAATACCCAACAAATGCCAAGGATACAAGCGTTCTTTCGTGATCTTGACGGCATCGGCACCGTGGGAGTGGTGTTCAAAACAGATTTCCCAAGATAAAGTTAATGTCCCAGGCATATGGCACTGTGTTTGTGGTGTCACTATAGCATGAGGAGAGAAAGACGTGGGGGCGGGGAAATATGCTCTGAGCGAACAGAGTTTCACACAACTGACAACTTACAGGTCACAAAACTCCAGGAATCTGGGAATGGGTGCTTGGCGCAGGTGGAGTTAACTGTGGTCGCGGAGCACTGGAGCATGGGGCGTGCTTCAAGTAGTTATTTGGATTGGAGGCTTGAATTTAGTGCCCTGGGAAAAGTTGCGTTATTTCCACGAGCAATCTATAATGGATTTATATGTCAAAATGGCTTTTCTCAGGTTTTCTTTTGTTGTGACTGTTTGCGCTTTTTGTATAAGAACAACGGAGACATTTTGGCATACTGCGCTGACTCGGTGTTGAGCAGCCCCCGCCAAATCGACCCCGGCCGACAAGCATTAATTATTTGACTTGCAAGCATCCCACGTCACTGATCAAGTTATTCGAACTCCGAGTGTCCAAGAGATGGAGGGCGAACAGCTTATTTTCTCATCCAGAGTGGAACAAACGGTTCTTTTTACTGATTGAAACCCGCTCTAGGGGCGCTTTTAGGGCCGGAATGCCTGCTATTCCGGTGATCAACCACTAAGGAACGCCCATCGTCGACCCTAAGCAGGCCCAGCAGCCAAGCCACGGGATGTTCAGTTACTCGACTCTGGTATTCACAACGACTCCACATTCAGGCGTGTGCAAAACTTTCTCTTCTACGGCTTTCGTAAAAAGTTAAACTCTACGGCTGTCCCATGCCTCGTACGAGTGCTCTCAAAATGGGCATGTCCACCGAGAAAAGGGCAGACAGCCTCATGCCTCGTTTGCCCAGTAACTTTACCATTCTACTAACTCAGGCGATTGCTGCTTCAAGCGACCCATTTCTTCAGACATTCATTGGCTGCCCAGATGCATCCCTCTGCATCCGTGGGTGGATGGCCTGGAGAATCCAGGGCGAGGCGCAACCTGGCGTGGCACTAATATGGATACTCAAAGCCTGATTGCCCCCTGGACATGATAACCCGGGTGAGGAAGTTGATGAGGGGCTGGAATGTTGAAGAAACGCTCTTGATTGGAACCGATCGGTTTCAGCGACGTCATGGCGACCTGGAGGATATCCCTACTTCCATTTACTATGGATAGAGGGGCAAATCTCGCATAAAAGTTGGCTCTCTCATCTTCAACAATTTACTGTGGAAGGAAACCTTTCAGAGCAACACCCAGAAAGCAATTCCAATTGGGCTCTTTTCGTTGTTCCAGTAACTAACCTAACTATCCGATTGCTCCCACTCTTTCTGATCTATTCTAATCCCTCTGTGTGCACAAACACACCTCACCACCGCGCGCCAGGTGAACTTTTCCCTTCCTTTGTTCTCTGGGAAAAAGATTGAAATCAGGTTTGTGATCTTGTAATGAATATTTAAGAAGACGAGAAACTGTAAGCATAAATTGTTGCTTCGCAAAAGAACTGAGTCAGCCTGTTGGATACAACAACCCTATAGACAAACCTTACAACTGTCGCCAGCTCCAGTCATACAAGATGTCGAATCGTCCAATCTTTGTTGCGACTCATCCCCGAGCCTGTTCTACGGCTTTCGAAAGGGTATGCTCAGATCACCCACCCCCTCGAATGTTGTGGGAAACCGCTAGCAGCTAACCTAATGTTTCAGGTCTTTATGACACGTCGTGATGTCCTCCAATGCGTACATGAACCTTTTGGAGATGCATTCTACTTTGGTCCTGAAAGATTGAGCCAGAGATATGAAGATGATGAGCAGGCGAGAGTTGAGAGTGGCTTCGCACGTTCGACATATCGATCTATTTTTGACAGGCTGGAGAGTGAAGCATCCGAGGTTTGACCCTTTTTCCGGTCCATGAGAAATTGGCTCTTACCTTTTCTTGCTCCTCTTCATGTTACGTGTATATACATGTCGTTCACTTTTTTTTTTTTTTTAATGCGCGCTGCTTCTCTTTATCTGGAATTGCCCTGCCATCGAGGTGCTTGGATCTGTATCACGGACCGTATCCTCTTATGCGGTGATTCATTGCCTCTAACCGTCGATATCGAGAAGTTGTTGCTACTCCCACATCACATGAATCCCCAGAATACCCCCCCATTTATTGTTAGGGAATGTTAGATTTGGCTCAAACATTGAAACATGCCCCCGAAGTTACATCCCGGAGAGCGCGACCTCAGCACTCAGCATGCTCATCGATTGCGATATACTTACCGTACTATAGGGAAAACGCCTTTTTATCAAAGATATCATCCACTATCTTGTCCCCCCGAACGGAAAGCCAGCCACCATCGCCCCCTCCTTACTGAAAACTAAACGCGGTGTCAGCACTGTGGATGGCAACAGCGTCGACTCCGTCAGCGCCTTGGCCATAGAGCCGAGTTCCAATGGAGATAACAAGACACCATATCCATACGATGCATGTGCGGAGGCCGACAATCCGACTGTTATTCCATCTTCCATGCTAGCCAAGTTCCATTTCACCTTTCTGATTCGTGACCCGCACTTCAGCATTCCGTCCTACTATCGATGCACCATATCTCCTCTCGATAAAGTCACTGGCTTTTACGAATTCTATGAATCTGAAGCGGGCTACGATGAGGTGCGTCGGGTTTTTGACTACCTTCGTAAAATACGGCTTATCGGACCGCATGACGCCAATGGAATCGGTGTTACGAATGGCACACCACATGGGATCAACGGCGAGACCAACGGCGAAACCAATGGTGATGATATCGCATCTGACGCTCACAGTAAAAGGGCTGAAATTTGCGTCATTGACGCTGACGACATGCTCGACGATCCCGCAGCCATGATACAACGTTACTGCAAGAGTGTGGGGATCGAGTTCAAATTGCAAATGTTGAAATGGGAGTCCGAAGAGGAGCACAGAATTGCCAAGGAGGCATTTGAGAAATGGAAAGGATTCCATGACGATGCTATCAACTCTACAGAATTGAAAACTAGATGCCATGTAAGTGCTTCTCAGCACATGTGTATAAATTATACGCATCGTTGTCTATTCATTTCTATAATCTCTAACCACCTCTCATCCATTTTTCTCTATTTTTTTTGTAACAAATTACAGAAAAAGGAACCCAAAACCGAAGCTCAATTTGACGAGGAGTGGCGTGCCAAGTATGGAGAAAAGGGTGCAAAAATCATCCGTTCTGCCGTTGATCGCAACATGGCTCATTACCGATATATGAAGAAATTCGCTATGAAGGCGTGAAAATCGTAACCCGTTTGGATATGCTTCATGTGTTCGGTTT